TGAGGCTTTCTACTCCCGTAAGGATTTACACCCTCGGAAACCCTGTACAGGGTCGCTATGGGTCGGAACCGACTCGAAGGCACTTAACAACAACAACAATGTTTAGTAAATGGCAGCAGGATTTGGAAAGGAATACAATCTACAGTCTTCTCTGTAATTTTCTTTTTCAGGTTCATTAAAAATAAACAAAAGGAAAAAAACAAAACACTGTGTGGCATTTTAGGATGAACACGGGACCAAAAGTTCAGTTTGAATAGCACAATCGCTGATTCAAACTCACCAGTCACTCTTCGGAAACCCTATACAGGGTCGCTGTAAGTTGGAATTAACTTGATGGCATTAAACAACAACATCACTACTAAGAAAAAAATTTGATTGAATATTTTTAATTTTTTCTATAGTAATTATGAAACATAATTTCAGATCAATTAAATATTTTGTTAAAATTCTGACCCAAATATATGCAATATACTGCAAAACGTTATTGCCTAAATTTTAATTCCTGTTGTTTATATAAAAAGTTTAGTTCACTGAAAGATCCAGAAAAGTTAATAAGAGTCTAGAACTAAGTTTGTAGGGTAAATTTCTTAGGGTATTATTTACCTAATGAAGTATAGACAAGCAGCTGTCTTAAAATCTACTATAAATTAGAAAGGAAAAATAAAAGCTTTAATAGAGGGAAGAAAAATATTTAAAATATATGAAAATCTTCATTCTTATCATATCTATCAGGAAGAGTCAATCTTTTCTAATATTACCTCACAGTCATACTCTATGAGCACCAAAAATGTAATAATTTGAGATCCATTAATACAGTTCCCAATACTCTACTAGTTAACTAATATCAGCAATACGAGTACCTATGTAATATAGTTTCCATTTTGGAGTCCTGGTGTGGCACCATAGAATAAGCACTGGGCTGCTACCATAAGACTGGCGGTTCAAACCCACCAGTAGCTCCTCTGGGAACCCTATAACAGGGTTGCTGTGAGTCAAAACTGACTCTACAGCACTGAACACCATAACAACTAAATGACAATTTATGAAAGTATATTTATCCAAGAAATTTCTTTGCTTATTGGATAAAATAAAATTCCCATAGCATAATAAGCACACCTTAAGAAAATATGTTTTCCCTACTTAATTCTAAGTTCTCCTATAAATTCAATAGAGTCCTGGTGTGGCACTGTAAGGAAAACACTAGACTGGATATCGAAAGGTCAGTGGTTCAAACCCACTAGTCACTCCTTGGAAACGCTGTACAGGGTAGCCATGAGTTGGAGCCAAGCTGATGACATTTAACAACACATATTTTTACAGGTATTATTATTTTTAAAATACCACTTTTATGTTCTGTTTCTTCATAAGATTCACAATTTAAAACAACTTTGAGAGCACTTATAAAATACATGATACTATAGCATGGTTAATTTGTCCAGATTTAAGTGACACACAGAAAACAAACTGGGTATGTAGTCATCCAGTAAATAGCTATGGTACCCAAGCCAATTAATATGTGTCCCTACGTTTATAATCTGAAAAATAATGTTATTTCTTTCTTTTAGCCACCTTCAATATGTCTAGACACACAAATCATTCTGAAAAGGAAAACAAGTGAGTTGAAATTTGAGGCAACCCTTTATAAACAACCAGTTAGTTGAACAAATTTAAACTATTTAAAAATTACTGTCAAACTTTTTAAAACTTTTCTGTCTTTACTCCCTCAAATTGGTCTGTAGACATAAAGAAGTATTTGTTGAGTTTTCATAGGTATATTTATCTGTTTATTCACAGATTTTTTTTTTTTTTTAAATGAAGATACAGGGGCTTTTGTTTATATGTTTTTGAGATTTCAAACAACTATGAGACAGAAATTGTGATTTGTTGATCTCAATAGCTTCAACAACATTGCATCATGTCTGGTAACTGACAAGTGTTCAATGAATACTTCAGGATTAATGGAGGAAAGAGAGTATAATGGCTCACTAGTCCTTACACTTATTGAAGATATGAATTTAGGAAGAAATAAAATCCCCCAAAACCTTGAGATGCTGAATCAAAGGCTCTATGTTAGATGTTCTTTGTTTTTAAGTGCTGCCAAGTTGGATCCAATTTATACACACTTGGTATACGGTTTCTGAGGTTTGGCTGGTAGGTTTGAACCACTGACCTTGTGGTAAGCAGTTCAGTGAATATCCAGTGTTGATACACCAGAACCATTCACTTCCCTGTTCCTCACCCCAAATAATATGAATTTTAAATTCAGTGGGTTAGAATCAATGTCAGTACATTTTAAAAGTTTAACTCCTAATCTCTGCTCAAATTCTCTTTATGATTAGCCAGGCAAAAGAGTACATACTATGTGATGCTTAGTTTATATGAAATTAAAGATGAACAAAATTCAATCATGAAAGCAGAAATCAAAATAGTGACATTTGGTGGGCACAGCCTTAAAGGGGCACAAGAAAAACAAGCATGCTAGAAATGTTCTTTGCTTTGAGTTGAGAGGTGACTAAATAAATATATACATGTAGTGTTGGTTGGTTGGTTGGTTGGTTATGTGCCGTGGAGTCAGTTCCAACTCATAGCTACCCTTTACAGGGTTTCCGAGGCTGTAAATCTTTACGGGAGCAGAAAGCCTCATCTTTCTCCCACGGAACAGCTGGTAGTTTTGAACTGCTGACCTTTAAAGTTCACAGCCCGATTCGTAACCATGACACTACCAGAGCTCCGTATATGCAGTGTTAGAAAATGAAAATATTAGGAATAGCACAATAATGTTGTCAGATAAACTGCCAGAAGATGAGTGCCTTAGGTTGGAATGCACTCAAAAAAATACAACTGGGGAAGATCTGCTTCCTCAAAGTAGAGTTGACCATGATGACAAATGGAGTAAAGCTTTGGGGACCTTTAGTTCCTGATGGTACAACTCAAACTGAGGAGAAACAGTTGCAAACCTCCATTCATTAATAATCAGAACATGGAATGTAAAAGTAATAATCTAGGGAAATTAGAAGTTGTCAAAAATGAAAAGAAATGCATAAAGATAGATACCCTAGGTATTAGTA